CCCCCTACTGGAATGGACATGGACATAGGAAGCAGCAAGTGAGAACCAGTCCATATTTACCTTTGTATTTAGATTCTAAATTTCTGAGAACACAAATAATACAAAACTGAATACAAATTCTAGCCATTATATATAAACTTATTTCCATTATTTCTTAAGTGAATGTAGTACTTTAGAAGGAGGCAGAAAAGATAAATTAAAGCTACAGTGAAATATATAGAGAGGATAATATCTAATTTAATTTCCAGTGAAGCTAATTAAAATGAATATTTCATAGTTTATGGTTGTTTCAAATTAAAAAGATGAGCAATATTTGTGCTGATAATGTGCTACATTAGAATTTATAACAGCCACAAAATATTCATTTGCAAGTAACGATTCAATATTTGATACATGCTAATATATATGTAATATATATGTCTTACATATAAGATATAAGTATATATCTTATATACTTACAAAATTAGAATGGTTTCAATTGAAGTTGCTCACTTTTTTAACACTGGGTTTGCTTACTTGCTTGCAGTCAACAATTTTTATGCTTTCTTTAAAACTGATTTATAAAAAGTTGATAAAACAGATAAATAAGCAAACTGCTGATGTATTTTAATTATTTTTGTTTAATCATCATTGCACAATTGCACAGTTAGAAGGATGTATTAGGTATTTGAAAAAGATCTTTATAAACCTGATAATATGCAGGTATATTGTAATATCTACTTCACTTTACTTTGCTTTTATTTGATTTATATACCGCCCTACTCCCGAAGGACTCAGGGCGGTGAACAGCCAACAATAAAATACATATATACGAAATTTAAAAAGCAGAAATAAAATCGAATTAAATAGTTTGGCCCAGACAAATTAAAACCCCAATCAATTTAAAACAAATTTAAACTTTGAGTATTAAAAATATTAAAAAATATTAAAATTATTAAAATTATTTAAAGAGAGGGATATATATCCATAACACACATACACAAACAGAGCGAACAGGAAAGTTTTGCTTTCTATCATAATATACAAAGTGTGGGCAATGTTTGTCTTCCTGCCTGAAAAGAACCTACACCATATCTGCTGCAAATAGTATCTACTGGAGGAGTTATCTGAGAAGAATAAAATGGATAGATTTCAGAAAAACAGATTTTGATGAACTCTGAACTGAGATCACGTAACTATAAATCAAATAAACTAACTAAACTAACTAACTAACTTGAAATTATGAGGCAAAAAAGTGTCCAAGAATAATGGGAAATCCTATGAAATATTATAAGGTGCTCTATTTCAACAAAAAGAAAAAATGGGAAAGATGCTAGCATGAAGACATGTAATTCCCTGAAATGTTACAATTAACAGGAGTCACCATGATTTAGATGAAATTATTTCCTTCTTTTATTGCATTAATAGCTTAGATCAGGGAAAACTGAAGACATGGCATATCTTGACCTCCACAAAACTGTCAAAGACAATCATATTTATAAATCTTAATAAAATCATAAAATATGGCCTGGATGAAATAACTATGAAATTCCATTATTAACTGATTTATCACTGACCTATGACTTATTAACTAAGAGAATATACTATGCCAGGTCTTTTTTCCAGAGTTTTTTTTTTTTTTTAATATAATAGCGATAGTAAGAAAGCAGAAGTCAGTGAATGCATATCAACAATGCAATGCTTCTCCCCTACTTCCTGTTTGCCTTCAAAGGAGGTTAAAATATAGTAATTACTGTATAATCTAAATAATCTTCAATTCAGGGGTCATCTCTGATTAACCATGCTGATAATGTTACCAATACTGCTAAAAATGACAAGTGTGTCTCTCGTAATATTTAGTTGCTATTGAATTCTAGAGTTAACTAAGCTGGCAACTTCTCACAGCTAGCAACACTTGGGAGTTACTTCCTGATGTTTTTAGTTTCTTTTCAATCTCTTTATATTTGTGCAGGCTTGATAGACGTCATGCTCTGGTGCCCTTATTTGATTATTCCTATTGCAATTCCCCTTTAGTGATCTTGAATCCCTCTGGAACATGCGTATCTTCAGCAGCCCATCTTTGCTTACTAGCTATTTTTCTTTTGTTTCTTACTTCAACTCAACTTTCTTCTCAGCGTCTTAGTTCATTTCAACTCCTCACACCTACCCAGTATGATTCCCTTTATGTTGTTTTCTTCCCCCAGACTCAGGGGATCAGCTACAAGTAGAAATTGTGTATTGGGATGATCATTTAACAGATTGGCAAATGTTTACCTTTTCACTCTCCTTCACCTGAAGAGTGCTTATTGGCTCCACTTCAGTTGGAAGGGAATGTATTTATGTATTTATCATTATTTTTACAAATAACTCAAGGTGCTGAACAGATCTAACACACCTTCCTCCTTCTATTTTCCCACAACAACCCATAAGGTGGGCTGGGCTGAGAGAGTGTGTTTGGCTGGCTTTCATGGTTAAGACAGGTCTTGAATTCATGTTCTCTCACTTTCTAGCCTGGTGCCAAAACCAGGTCTTTTTTCACTAAAACAAATTTTTCAATAAAATGCTTTACCACTTGTTTTCAGAGTAACTTCGTCCCAAGAATTAAATATTTCTCCTTATCAAAAAGACAATCTATGCCCTCCAAAGATTTCTCACTGTTTGCATTCCTAGTAATAAAACCTTTTTGCTCTGTTGTACCAAAATTCTCCCATGTCCACAAGGGAAATAGATAATAGCTTTCCAACATGACCCATAAAGTATAATATTTCATTACATTGTCATTTCATAAACTGATAGCTGATAAAATATAAGCCAAATGTTATTTTTGTAAATATTTTCTTCAAATGGTAATCTCAATTTAGTTAAAGAAAACCTTCGCCTACTAACTCAAATTTTGTAAGTAAAGTATCGATTTGAAGGAAATATTTATTTGGTATTAACATAGGAATATCTCAGAACCGTAAATCAAATGAGGGATATTAATTTTAATAACACTAATTTTATCCTGCAAACTTCAGGGAATTTTAAGTCATTTGTAGCCATCTGTTCAATCTTTTCTGAAAGATTCAACATATTTATTTCCACATATGGGGTATGTAAATTCCAAACTATTAAATATAGTCATAAAAACTACAAAGCCCAATTTTTTTAAAAAAAAACTTTATTGATATTAGGACCTAATAGAAGTAAACAATATTTATCCCAATTAATCTTATCAGTAGAATAGTTTCCAAAACATTGCACTATCTTTACAAAATTATGGAGAGATAATAATACTGTTCATAAATTGCCAAAATATCATCAGCATATAAAAATAAATTATATCCATTCCCTGCTAAATGCCAATGTAATACACTTAATATCTAAAATCTGTCCTACAATGGTGGTCAGAGGTAAAAAGGTCAAATTAAACAGCAAAGGTAAAAGCAGACATCCTTAATAAGTGCCACATTGTAGCTCAAGAGTCTGAAATAATTCAATTTGACAGAAGTTTGCATATAATAAATCTCAACCCACTGAATAAAGTCCCATATCTAATTATCACTTGTTTTAAAAATTTAATCAGAATCAAATCAAATCACTTTTTCAACATCTGAAGATACTAATACAGAAGACTCCATTCTCTCCTTGTTTAAATCCAATACAGTATATCAATAACATGTCTGATGGTTTTTGATAAACTCATAAAGGGAGGCATGAATTGAATTATTATTTATGAAATCTATATACCACTTTACTCTCAGCAACTCTGGGTGGTTTACAAATGATTTCAAACATGAAAAATATAAAAATTAAAAACCATAAAAACAAAAAGCCTGAGTAAAGATCTAGCTCTTCAGGCCCCTTTGAATAACCAGCATACTGGAAGCCATTCTAAATTTGGGATGGCATCTCATTCCAGAGTATAGGCTCTGCTGCAAAGAATGCACACTTTGGGATCCCAATCAATGGCATTGCTTAATTGAAGGAACACGAACTGCATCCGCTGGGCAGATAAACAATGTGAAATTTTCTGCAACTACCTAGCCAATATAGTGGTAGTTGTCTCAGTATTGACCTTAATTAATGAAATAGAGCTGTTAAGTAGCACAAAATTTAGGATTTTCCCCTAGTTTTAAAATCAACCTTATTTATATTTCTTAAAAGAGTCATTGTACACATCAAAAAATATAGGACCTTGCAAATGCCTTATAAATAGATGTATGGATTGCATCTCTACCCTGGTCTTAATTCTTCCAGATTTTTTGGGGAAATTGTTGGGAATCACATTAAGTCAACTCTAACCCCAAGATGGAGTTACAAAGATCAAAACAGGGCCGACAGTTCAGTCTTTGGTCCTCTTCCTCCCTGGAATTTCACATCCTCCATAAGGAGCCTTGTCCCATTATTTGCAAGCAAGGGACAGGGATGCAGAACATAGATAGATAGATAGATAGATAGATAGATAGATAGATAGATAGATAGAAGATAGATATAGATATATAGTTATATATAAACTGTTTGTGTTAGTTCACAAAAACAGTTCAACTATGACCTCTGCCATGTGCAACAATGGAGCATGGAATAGGGAAAAAAACAATAAAAAGGTAAAACTTGAGAGTAGGATGATAGCCAACGTGGATTTATGGTCCACTTTGCAACCCAAAGCTCTTCTAGGCTTATGGTGCTCTCTTTTCTCTCAAACTCCTATGGATTTTTGCCAACTATGCTTCGTAGTTGCGTCCCATTTTTTGGGGTATCCTGACACCCTTGGAGATGTAGAAGGTACCCGCGACCACACTTTCTAACCAGGTCAAACCCGGACTTGCCGGTGCTTGCTTGCTTGCGCGCACAAAAACGCCCCCAGTATGCGACTCTTATATCCCCCCCCCACACCCCGATATCCAGAAGAGCTTCCTCTCTCTCTTTCTCCCCCACTTTCCCGAAGCCGGGGGGGGGGGGGCAAGCTTTTAACCCTTCCTCTCCCGAGGATGACGACGACGCTCGCCCACAGCCAACAGCCATCTCTCTTTCTCTCTCTGCCCAGCGACGCAGGCCTGGCCCGCTTTGTTTTAACCCTTCGCCTCCTGCGCTTTATTCGGATCCTCTCCCCCCTCCCCCAAAGCGGGTTGGCCAGAAAAGCTGCAGAGCCGCCCGGCACCCTGATTTGCCCGGGGGCGAGTGGCGTAAAAAGTAGCAACAGCAGCGAGAGCGACTGAACGCTCCTCCCCCTTCCCCAGCCTGGCGGCGGCGGCGGCAGCAACGGCAGCGACAGAACAAGGAGGGCGCAGAGCGCAGACATGGCGGCTAACATGTATCGAGTGGGAGGTATGTGGGGGTCCTCGGCGGACGCGCCACGCGCCCCCGCCACTGGTTTGCATCCGCCACAAAGGCCCCGGCTCCCAGCCTCGGTCGGTGAAGGGCGCGAAGGGACGGAGATATTGGAGTGTGTGTGTGTGTGTGGGGGGGGACAGGAAGGAGGAGAGGGGCGTGCAGGTTGGAAGCTTAGCCCAACCACCCGCCTTCTTTCCCCCCCAGCCCCCCCCCCGGGAGAACGAGCCCCGTGGTTCCTTCCAACGAGAAAACCTGACGAGAGAGGCCGCCGCCCACCGTGCCGAGGTGGTGATGGTGGCGGTGATGAAGGGGGAAGGCGCGAAGTCCAAAGCAACCCCTCCGCCCGGGAATTGTAGTCGCTGGGCGAGAGGAGGTGGGGGGGGGCGGGAAGGGAAGGGAAACCGAGCATCCGAAGTGAGCTTCGGGTTGGAAACCTTCCCTTCCCTCCCTCCCTCCCTCCCTCCAGTGTGGGGACTCTCAGCCGTGAAGAAACGCTCTCTGCAAACGGGCAGGCGGCCTTCCCCAGTGGGTCCTTTAAGGGATAACCTTCTGTCGTTGAAGGGCGATAATGCAGCAGGGCCCAGTGTTTCCTTGCAAGCGTGCTTGGGATGGCATCCCCTTGCGCGTTGATTTGCATGCCAGTCCCATTCTTCCAGAGTGATGAAGCAGTTTAAGCGTTGGCCTAATGGGTAGCCCAACTAGGTAGACTTGGGTTCAAAACTCCATTCAACTACAAAAGAATTGGAAGGGTTATTTTGGGCTGTTCCCTATCTTTCGTCCCAGGCTGCTGCATAAAATTGGAGGGAAAAGGAATAACCAGTGTGCTGTCTTGAACTCCTGGATATAAGGAAAGGCGGGATATAAATGTGATAAATACATAAAACAAGCATGCTAACAAATAGTTGCCCTGTGATAAGATGAGTGGCCAATACATTATATAAATAAATAAATAAACGGGGGGTATTAGAATTGAAATTCTAGCAAGAACATCCACCAGCAACAGATAGCTGAAGAAACAGCTTATAGAAGTTACCAATGCAGTGGAATTCTTTTAAAAACATTAAAAAACATTAAAGTGAATTCTATCATTCACTCAGTGACACTAGTTTGTAGTAGAAGGGAATTCTCTTTCATGCAGGGCATGATTAATCTATTAAGTCTGCTACCCAGAAAGCTGAGATGGGCTCCATAGAAGATAAGTGTGACAAAATGCTTGTCTTTGTAGCTTCTGGCTAGTGTCTAGCATGCTGTAGTTTGAAATAGGATGAACTTCTAAACATCCATTACCTATGTTGGTGTGTGAGTTATAAAAAAAAAGTTTAAAAGGCTAGTAAGCAATCATTATACTTGCTAGCTGCCATAGAAACAATTCAGATCTCATCCCACTTTAGGCATGAAAGCCAGCTGGGTGACTTTGGGCTACTTTCTTTCAGCCCACATCAACCTCAGCAGGCAAATTGGTTGGTCAATTTTATTTTTTATTTTATTAAATTTATTTGCTGCTCATCTCACTGTAAGATTATCTGTTGCAATGGATCAACCCTCAGTTGATTTGAAAAAAGCAGACCTTGTGGGCACATCCTCTTTGGGAAAAACACTAGGAAGAAAAAAACGTTTTCTGATCTATTACAACTTGAAGCCATCCAATCAAAGTAGTACATGTTTTACTTCTTTGCCTCCTTTATTCCTTTTTGTACCTGGAACTTATATCTTAACTTTTCACCTGATGTGTTGGTTGGTCAAAAAATGAAAGTTGTTCATTTCTTACTGGTACATTCTAAATGAAGATGTCAAGAATTGGAGTAAAGTTATACAAGTACTGTTGGCTTTAGGAGATGGTAAACCTGGTCCTTATTCTAATTGGATGTGTATGATTATTTCTAATGGCTTTAGATTATCATCACTGTCTTTATAATGGACTCTTTTTGGTCCCTAAGTTGTACAAAAACACAGCAAATAAATATTTCCTCCATGGAAATGAAAACTTGAATATGAAATAATGTATGAAATAATATCTGTCATGGGAAGGCCTTTTCTGGTCATAGCTGTTTTGCAATTGTGTGGAGAAATGTTACATTCTGTGACTATAATATAAATCCAAGTTCTTGTAAGTATCAGCTGGAGGATGAGTTACATAGCTATATAAACAAATTGGAGCAATATAAATTAAAACATTGAAAGAAATGTCCTTCTCCCTAATATTTCTAATGCAAAAAAGGAAAGGTGGACTTGGCTTTTCTCTGGTACAGTCTTGCTGTATATGCTGGAAGTTTGCTTTCTTTACTAAAAAAAAAATGACTGTTGAGAGAAACATGCCACCAATCTTCACCTAGAAGGCAAAGAGAAATAGATCCACCTGTCCAGGCCATAGCTACATTCTCAAATAATGATGCTAGAAAGTAATAGTAGATTGGAACAAAGGCAATAGTGGAGAAATGGAAGAAGTGAATGAAAGAACTGTCTGTTGAGGAAACAGAAGCAATGGAGGAGCACAGAAAAGCTATATTTTGATTCTTGAATCTGCAGTTGGAGAAAACCTTGTAGATCCAACAGCCAGGGATTCCTGTTTTCTTACTTAAGACAGATACCGAGGATCAGGACAAAAGTACCAGAATTTAGCAACACTGCCTGGGTCTGAGACCTTTCAGTCTGTGACTCTTTGTGCGGGAATGCTATGGGCACTTTTGATGTCCCCCCCCACCATTTAAATGTACCATTAAAGGAATCTCCAGTACAATTTGTGGTGTTTCATCTCAAGCACACATTTAGCAAATTCTGCTGTTCATGGCAATTAGACATATTTGTTCCCAAAATTAAAAATAAAAGAAGTAGCAGCACAAGCATCCATGATGCCAAATCTGGCCAGAGGTGTGTCAACTTTGGTGATGAGCCTGACATGGAATTACTGTCACTCCTTTTATGGTTATATGTAGACTAGCTCAAGACCAACAGGTTCTTCCTGCTTTTAATAAAATTTATTGGAATAACATGCTGATTGGCTTTCCTTATAACATCATGAAGCCAACGAACAGACTACTCTGACAACTGCCTTTCTCTTGTTGTGGAACAGCATTTGAAATGTACAGCTGAGATGAAAAGAAAAAAAGGGAAGTCATTAACCTTAAATATTCTCCAGATGTGTTTAATTTCTATCAGTTACTGCCTATATGACCAGTCACAAAATTTTTTTGTAGGAATTGTAATCTAAAACTCTAGAAGGCATGAAATTACACTAAATAAATCTGCTAAATTTCCAGTGTCTATCAATGAGAACTGCAGAGTATTTCATATTGCATTTGAAGCTAGAGATGTGTAACATAGAGAAACAAAGAAAATAAAGTGTAACAAATTAACTTATTCACCCCATACCATTTTTGTTTGATCAGGGTTTTCTCACAACATACTCTAATATTATACTCCCATCCATGCTTATTCAAAATTAAACCCAATAAGTTTAAGAGGAAAGTATTCCCTAATAAATGTGAAGGATTGTGGCTATAAATTGTGGAATTTAGGTTGGCCGAAATGTGTTTCTATTGACTTAAGTTTCTTAAATCATACCTGAAGGAAGATGAAGCAAATTCATGCAGCATTGTCCCAAGATAGCAATAGGAATATATAATAATTGATTTCCTTTAGGGAAAAAATGAGTGGTTATAACTTAGCTGACAAACTGAGTTTTCATCTCCAATTTATATTAATTTTTCTCCTCTCCCCTAATTCTTCCTTTCAAACTTGATGGACTCTATAGGCTGCCCAGAGTCACTTTTTTTACGAAACTTGTAGATTTCATAAATAAACATATAGATTTGATAAATAAATAAAAATATTTGATGTCTATAGGAAAATTTCATTGTTGCTTTAATTCCTCTTGGAAATTTTATTAGGTATGTACGTAGTGTACGATAATTTGATCCACCCAACCACAGTTTTACTTGTTTTTCCTCACCCCACCCTCCAAGGTGATACAGTTTCATACAATTCACATATATGGAGATTATGTTGTGGCAATTCATATATCTCTGAAGTGTTTGGCATGTTGCTAAGTGGCCATACGCATGCTCCAGTATTTGCCCAGTTTATTAACACTTGCTGTTGCTCTGGCCCTTTTCAACAACTTTCTAAATTAATCAAACCAAGCATGTTTCACCAGATACTGTACCTTGCTCATCATCACTTTATCCGCTGAGTATTAATTTATTAGTTTAATATTTTACTCTGATCTCTGCCAAAAATGCCAGTATTCTTTCTTTTTATATGTTGTATTTCTGCATATCTTCATAAAATTCATTTAAATGTTCTAGTACAGTCTTTAAGCAGGCTGTATTACATCTAATAGTGGCAAAGGATTGAATATTTGTTTGTTTCCTAATGGAAATAATGCCCTGCTTTATGAAAATCAGAAGAAAGGATTTGGAAATAAAAGTTTTAATATTGATGGCCAAAATTAGTTCAGTTCAGGATTGTGCCCTATTTAATTTTTTGTATATTTGCACTAGCTTAGAATTTCAACTTAGATAAAAAAAGCTTTGGTGAAAAAATGTGCAATTACAAGGTATTTATATAGCAATAAATGCTCTTATTTCAGAATGTCATAAAAAAACGGAGTTTGCCACAGTAGAATAATATGTTTAATTTAACCTAGCCTTATCTTAGCTTTAGATGAATTAGGTGGCTTTTAATAATTCCTTCTCTCCTCTGAATTATAAGTGAATTCAGTTTAGAATGGACTGAAGCAAAGCAATGTATATCTATCCAAATGAAATACAAGTTTTGGTTGTCTTCTCTGAATACAGGAAACCAGGATACTATTTTGCTTTCTCCTGAAAGCTGTGAGAAGGATTGTTAAGACTTTTCTCAATCCTGGAAAATAAATGCTTTTGTTTTTCATTTTAAGGAGCTTTTTACCTCCTGCACCTTTTATCTTTTGATGTACCAGGAGGCCTGCAATCATGCCTCAAGCTTCTTTAAGGTGTGGGAGAATGGAAAGGAGGAGGTAGTATGGCTACTTAATGCTTGCTGTTAGATTATTGCTTTGGGCAATTGGGTAATTGTACCTTTGCACTTCATGTCAATTGGAACAAGGAATTAGAATCATTACTTGGCCAAATTTTGAACAAAGTATATTAGCTTGTAGGCCATATTGGTGCCCCAAAACGTTCTCTTGCTTTCTATTTGTAAAAGTGTGTTGTCTAACTGGTCCAGTATGCAGTTTGTGCTGTTTAATGGGGATGTACAAATCATTTCAAGACATTTTGTATGAAATTTCATAAAATGGAACTGTTACTTTGAATGTGTAGTGGAATTTTGAGCACTTTATCTAGAGTTTGGAATAGCTCTGAAATGAATTGAAATCTCCAAAATACATAAAGTAGTAGATTCATATTCAGAATTAGACGTTTTTTCAAAGTTCATCATGTATACAACTTTTCTAAATGAAGTGTTTTGTATGCTCTCACTTTGTCTTTTACATTGGCTATATCATCAAAGGGTGGCATTTAGGAAATGAAGTGAAATTATAATTGTAATCCTTTGTGCCACTTACTAACGAATAAGGATATTGTGTTTAAGAGAACACGTCGAACAGGAATCTTTCCTACATTTGTGGGCATACTTGGAATATTGAGACCGGGTTATTTCACCCAGTAAATACCTAGAATTATTTTCTTGATTGTGATAGCATACAAACTGCTAAATAAAATGAAATAAAATAAAAAAACCATAGATACCAAAAGGCAAAATGGTGAGGTTGCTGCCCACTACACTAAGTAGCTCCTCAGGATACCCCACTCACACAATCGGCTGTGATTTTTATGGTAGTTGCACACAGTTCTGAATAGAACTCGATTGCAGTTAACTACTGTTTTATTTATATTAATGCTCCTGTGATCTGTAGGGAATACAGTAATGTGAAAAATGCAGTGTATATCTGACTATATACTCAGTATACACGGTAACTTACCTAGCATTCTAGATTCCCACTATTTTAAGATTAAATAAAAATAAACACATGAGAGTATAAATGTAGTGGGTGCCAAAAATTTGCAGGCATGTTGGAGACCAGGATGTCTTGTAGTGTCATCCTAAGAAATAGCTGTATCATAAAGGGTACTTTAAAGCTCTCCTGAAAATGCAGAATTGGGTAGAGGTGAAAAATGATGAAAAGGATTCAGATATGAGTTTAGCTTCATAGTCAAATCCATGTTGGCCTCCCTCCCTCCATTTTCATCAACTACTGCATGATTAATTAACATACAAATATTTGGCAAGAACTGCAAATGACTATTAATATCTGTCAGTCCCATATTCCACATATTCCTTTCATATTCCATGAAAGGATGCCTCTTCCAACTTATTTGGCCGCTCAACTCATAGATGATTCTGGGCATCTTACAGCATTAAAAACCCCAACATAAAAAACATAGGGTGGAAGAGCGTGGCTGGGGTTGGTTTCTGGCCCACTGCATCCATATTTGTTGTTCTGGAAGCTGACCCTTCACTTCCTTCTCCCAATTTACTTTCCCTCCTTCATCTTCAGGCAGGTTTGTTGTATTGACAAAAGTTCGCAACTTGAACATTCATTAGTATAGTAATGTTCATACTGAACAAAAATATAAATAATTGTACATTGAAAGAAAGACATTTTTTCCAGAGAGCTAGATTGGATGCATTGGTTTCATGGGTATAATGCTGCAGATTTTTTACTAATATATTGTGGATGCAGTTCCATCCAAAGAAAATTCCCTTGAAGTTACGGGAACTTATTTGTGAGCAAGTATGTTTGAAATTGAAATGAGTCCTGATTTTCTTAAGCTTTTAAATTCCATTGTGCATTAGTGATTAACTTTTATTGATTACTCTGGATAGACATCTATATAGTGGCCTACAAATCTCTTTTCAGTCCGCTTTCAAACAATCTTACAGGAAGCAGTCCCACTGAACTCTCCCTATAAACTATTATTAATTATTTCAGTCTCCCATAGTAAATGATTTTTCATATAAATTGGATTGCAATTTACAATTGTTCTATAACCCTCCCACAGGCTCTAAAAGGATTATAGAATAGAGCAATACTTCTAAGAATCCCTGGACGGGGTTACCCTGACATAGATTATGAATTCTCCATTCCTGAGTGTAACTCTCATAAAGGATCACAAGCATTTCTTAACATCTTCCTTATTGTTACTTCACTTCTTTAAATTGTTTTCCCCAAGACTAATAAATACCAGCTGTGGCAGAGCTGTTTTAAGGAGCTGTAGAGAAGCAATGTGGTCTACACCTTAGTTCAAAATATCTTTTTTCTTTTGAATTTAAGCACTATCCAGCCCTAAAATTTAATTTGAAGATTAAAGGGGGAGGGGTACATAAAATTGGCCTTTAAATTCTTAACCTTGTCATATAGAAGAGAATAACTATCTTTTGCTCTAGAAAAAAAGGCAAATCAGTTGTGGAAATTGAAAATAAGCAGATTTTGATAAAATTTTGGGAGAATCTTCCCAAGGATAATCAACAATGGAACTGACTGGATTGGATGGTTCTCCTTTGCTACAGTTATATAAGGAAGCAGTTATTAAAGCAGGCACTTGAAAGGCTTTTATCAACTATCTTATAGTCACAAGATTCTTGCATGCATATTATGGTGGCCGGATGGATTGTGTCCAAGATACTTCACAACTCTGTGGTTCTTTATAGTATATGCTATTCAGAAAAAAAAGCCTTATTATTGGATTGGATTAATTATCAACCATTTTTTGGAATGAAAAGCTATAGTCTTGATCCAAAACACAATAGTTTTTGAAACTCTTGCAAAAATATATTTAATTATTACAATAAAGGCCTATAATTCACATTGATGTAAATCTCAGATGCATTTGATAAACTATTTTGCTTTAGCAGACGTCTCTTCCTCCAATAAGTGGCTAAATAATGATTTATCCTATAGTGAAAGTTTATTGTACTAATGTTTGAAATACTACTGAAGAATCTATGTTTTGGAAGGCTAACATATTAAACATATTAACATGAAAGTCAATTTTGTGCTATAACTATTTTTTTCTGAACCTCTAACTTTATAAGTTAGTTAGAAATTGCCATTTTCAGGCCTTATTTGGTGGAAAGCCATTTACACCTACCTAATTTTATGTCGCTCATGTAATAAATTTGTTAGCACCTGATTAATTAACTTCATTGTTAAAAAAATAATTATTCGAGAATTGATGTAATATGGGAACAACATTTTTGAAATTGATATTTTAATGGAATGCCAGTCATTGCTGATAGAATGATTAATGATGTTTTCTTTGGTTAGGCCTAGGAGGTGAGAAGATAATTTATTTATAAACTATACATTTTTTGAAATAAAATAAGACTACATGTTTAAATTTTAGAAATAAGAGCAGTGCGTACTTGAACTTTAACATGGATCATCTGATTTTTTTATTTTGTTGTAATACTGCTTTTTGAGGAACTTTAAATTTATTTCTTTTTTTTTTACAGATTATGTTTATTTTGAAAATTCTTCAAGCAATCCATATCTTATCAGGCGAATAGAAGAACTTAACAAGGTATATGATGTTTAGGAATTTCTAAAATAAACTATAACTTACTCTTTGGGAGATAGTTTCTTCATTGCTATCAAACTAAGGAACGGATTTCCTTAGAAAATGTATTGTGTTTGATCATTTTCTGCCTAAAAAGAATTAAGAAATATCTTTTCAATTAGCACTTTTTAAAATAAATACTTTAGGGTTTTTTCCTATTTATAATTTTAACTGTATTTTATTAATTATTTTATGCTTATATATTTATTGCATAGTTCCTATGGCATGCATGCCACAAGTGGCACGTGTAGTCATATCAGTGGGCACGCCAGCTGAGCTCTGGCGTGCGCCGGCCAGCTGATTTTCGGGCCTTCTGGGTCCACCAGAAGTAGGGAAACAGGCCGTTTTCTGACTATGGAGGGCTTGTGGGGAGGCATGGGGAAAGCCCATTTTTCTTTCTTACCTGGTTCCAGATGCTCTCTATGCATCTGTGGAGGGCGAAAACAGCCTTTCCCAATCCCTCGGAGGCCCTCCAAAGGCCTGAAACAGCCCATTTCCCAATTCCTGGTGGGACAGAAAGTGGCTTTTTTGCTGTCTCCAGACTCCAGGAGTCTCTGGAGGCTGGGGACAGCAAAAAAGTCACATTCTGTCCCACCGGGAGTTGGGAAATGGGCCGTTTCAGGCCTTTGGAGGGCCTTCGAGGGAGTGGGAAAGGCTGTTTTCGCCCTTCCCAGATAAATAGAGAGGATCTGGAACCAGATAAGAAAGAAAAACGGGCCACCGGGGCCATCCGGGCGGGGGGGGGGGGGGGGGGGGTGTTACGCGCACATCCACAGGACAGGGCACATAGAATTATCGGTGTGGGCGCGTACGACCATCCTCCGTTCCCCCCCTCTCCTGGTATGCGATGGCAAAAAGGTTAGTCATCACTGGTATAGTTCATAGTTGTAAATATATAAGGAAGGGTATTAATCAAAGAAGGAATATTAAATAACATGGGTATGTTATTAATTCTGCTGTACATAATCTTGTGACTACTATGGTGTAGACAAGCTAGAAAGTTTTTCCAGATGAAATCTAGTTGCAGAATTAATGCGTGAGAACCAATGAAAGGCAGTAATCATGATAAGAGGTGTTGGGTAAATTAAGGTAAGGAAAATGGAAAGTAATCACCAAGATGACAAAGCAGTCCAAGGAAATGATTGCTGCTATAACCAAAACTGATCTGAGTTTTATTAATTGGTAATATCTGGGAAAACCCCACCCACTGATATAGAGTAACTCCTAAAACTACAGGTAGTCCTTGGGTTATGACAGTAATTGGGACCAGAATCTCTATCGCTAAGCGAAATGGTCATAAAGCGCAATGTCATATGATCGCATTGCTTAGTGATGGCAATCCAGCAGTCCTTGTTACCATTGTTAATTAAACCTCTCTGGCTGTTAGGCAAGGACCAACCCCAATCCAAGACCAATTCCCAGTTTGGTCCCTCCCCAATCTCAATAGAGTAAGGAACTGCCTATTCTGCCGCCTCTTACAACTCTCCCCATCAATCTCTCTCCCCCCATCTCTCTCCTTTTGCCTAACCTATTCTTCGATGGCAGTGGTGCTGAGGCTGAAGTAGAGGTGCAGGGTCTTTAGCAGTCTGACAGCCGCCACTGCCCCTGGACCTCTATTTCAGTCCCAGTGCCACCACCACAAGGAATGCTGCCTCAAGCCCTGCACTGTGACCAGCTACTTCAGCACTACAATACAAAGACCAAACACTGTTCTTGCAATGCTTTGGAAAGTTGCTATGTTACAAAACATAACATGAACAGTGTGTTCTATTTGGAAAACAGCATAAGTGTTTCACCTGGTCTGGCCAGCAGCTGCCTTGCATAGGGTTAGGCTGGGGATGCCTTGTCAACAGAGGTAAGAAAATAGTGGTCAGCTGGATGTGGCAGGACTTGCAGAACGCAGGGTGGCAAGGGTGGCTGAGGCTTTGCACTGTGGCGTTGGGGCCTAGTTGCAGTGCAAGGCTAGAGGATGGGTGAACAGGTTGGGTTTAATCCAGGCTGATATGCCGTATTTTTTGGAGTATAAGACGCACCGGAGTATAAAACACACCTTAATTTTGGGGGAGGAAAACAAGAAAAAAAGAATTCTACCTCTACCTACCAGCATTTAAGGTGGCGCTGCTTTACTCTGCCCTCCTCCTCCTCCTGCAAGCGAGAAGTGCCTCAGAGACTTGGCTGGGAAAGAGGCAATTGATTACTGATAAGTTCTTTTCCGGAAAACTTATCAGGGTGCTCCTGCAATCCTCAGGGACTACTCGCTTTCCCCCAAAGAAACCCCTTGCATGCTCTGGGGGGAGGGTCAGAGCACAGCCTGAGGAACAAACCTCTTTGGGACGGTTGGGGGGGGGGGGGGCTGTCCGGCAGCTTCGGGGAACAAGGCGGGCCCCGCGATTTGCAGCTAGTCACCCCTCTGGCTGCCCAGTGGGCAGCTCAGCAGACTCACCTTCTCTTTCCTCCTGGCCAAATCCGCCGCCTGAAACGCGATGAACTTTTTTTGCCTCTGGACACCCCATGTTTGTAATTGGGAAGGGGATTGTGGCTCTGCCGCCCGAAAACGCTTTCCTTTGGAATCGAGAAGAAGGACGAGGGCATGCAGCTCTGCAATGTGCAATGGGAAGAAAGCATTTTCAGGTGGCAGCGCTGCAATCCCCTCTCCGAATCCAAAACGGTTCACGGTTCCCTGCTGCACATTACAGGGGAACTGGCCGCCACCTGAAACGCGATTCTGAGAATTGGATTGGGGAATCCGGCCAATGGGCAACGGTGACTGGAAAGGGATGTTTCACTTTAGGGGGTCCCGTTCGGCTCAGCTCGGCTCCTGGGCGCGGAGAGGGCTTAGGCGGCGGCGGCTCCTCACATTGTTGGGGAGTGAAGTCATCGCAACCATTGTCTGCCCTGAGCTGCCCTCCCTGAAACTGCCGGGCAGATTCCCCCCCCCGACCATCCCGAAGAGGTTTGTTCTTCAGGCTGTGCCCCAACCCAGATCCCCACCGCCTGGAACTGCCCGAAAATGTCCAAAGGGTGGGGGCCGACAGGTGGACAGGGCTACATTCGGACTATAAAATGCACCCAGATTTTTACCCTCTTTTTGGGGGTAAAAAGGTGCATCTTATACTCTGAAATATATGGTATATCCACAAATGTGGACATTCCCTTCATGTAGCATATATTGACTTTAGGTCAGCTTTCAACACAGTGTCTAAATCTAAACTGCAGTATACATTTAAATACACAATAGAGACAAATGTATGTTTTTGCTGCTCTTTGAAGTTCATGAAAACATTAGATTGATGTTCAGGTGCAGTAACCAAGGACAAGTCATTAAGGAAGTATAAGTCAGGAGGGGAATTAGTGTATTATTTATTTTATAAACTCCTAGGTTCTTCTCTTAAGTAACTCTTACTTTCCATTCTCCCAGATTAGTCCATATAGACATACCAATTTACTATTGTATACTGATGATGCAGTAATACTGTTATCGAGTTCCACTGGCTTTAAAGTTTTCACTTAACACAATATAGTACTGAGGTGAAATTAATAATAAATTATTCCAAGATCAAGATTCTCATTTTTTCTAAAAGCCTGAAATAGAAATGCTGGAAATTAGAGCGGCAGTCAATTGAGCAGGTTAAGATTTTTAAATAAAACATTTTGGAATATTTTCTCAAGATTTAGGAAGCAGAATTGCCCACCTGGATTAAGTATCTCTGAATGCACAGAGATCTGCCTCAGCTATTGAAATTTATTTTGTCAGAGGAGCAGTTTGTTACAATTAAACTGTTTACAGCCAGAGTCTGAACACAAGTGCTATAAGGGACTCAGTAAGGAGTATATAGCAGTAAGATTGCCTTACAAAGAATTCAAACAAAAAATTTGAGACGTATCCTTCAGATTACCCAAAGGCAGCACTTTCAAAGGAGCACTTTTAGGAGTAAACCTGAATTTAGTCTCTGGATAAATATATTTACCTACTAGCTAATATTATATTACAATCCTGGTGAATTGACTTAATACTGGTAGACAACTTCAATTTTTCTTGGGAAACAGTTATCCCAAATTACCAGTGATGTGACCTTCATATCAAACTAGATATGATATGACTTAAGGCAAAAGAGTTTAGACATAGAAGGCCAAACAGGACTTGCTGCTTTGTTTTACAACATATTTATAATTGTCAAATTTTATTTCCAGTGTCAGCTTTATCATCAGATTACAATTCCCAAATTCAGGGGAACTTTAACTTGATTTAGTGTTTTCCCCACATCTGTTTTGGAAAAATCTCTTGTGAAACTTGACACTGTCTCTGTAACTCTGGTGGTATAGAAATATTATGTCCTTCTGTACATAAGGTTTTACAGTAACATTCAGTTGATTATGACTTTTAATCTAAATTTCCAGAGCACTTCAATAATTTTTATTTCCATTATTTATATTTAATAATTATTTATATTAGATAGCAAGGATATGTCTATCTTTCTAAAAATAGCAAACTTTTGCTACATCATGAGCAAGCTTCACCCACAAATGGTTGCCTGTAATCACTAATGTTAGGAATTAATTTTCCTTTGTTTTACTGAATATATTTTTAATGGTCAGTGAACAAAATAAAATTTCATCTGTTGTAATTTATAGGGAATGGGCTTGAATGAAACTCTTTAATAGTTTTCTCAAAAATCATTGCTTCTGTATTAATTTTCAGCCAATATTTCCTACATGTTAAAGTACCATTGATTCAAAGAAAGATGTGTTTGTCTTTTCTAATTTAAATCTGACAGGACACAGACACAATTGAATTAATTTATAGTTTATAATATATAGGAATACAATAATTAATAGGAACTGGAAAATATGGACAAAAAATATTTTTTTTTCCATTTCCTCAAAAACATTTGGCCAAGATAAATAACTAAATAGGCATTTCAACCAGAGATAGTAACACATAGTGATTTAATTATAACTCGTCTAACACAGAAAAGATTTGATTAAGATAATGTAATTTTAAACAACTTTTGTAAATCAAATTCATAAGTCAGAGAAACTGCACAGTTGTATGTTGCTTGCAAATATAGAGACATATTGGTCTTATGATATTAGTTAGACCAATGGATAGATTTTGAGTTACTGTTAAAAAGCAATGAAAGAATGGGATTTGGATTTTCTGTCTTTAACTTCAAATGTTTGAAACTTTTTCTAGTCATGGGGGTATACAAAGCATTTTGTACTTTTCAATACAGTGCCAAATAAAACTGTGAACAAAACTCAGACATTTGAGGTTGGATTCTTTGAGAACGTTCCAAGTGCTGTAGTTCGAATTTTGTGTTGAGACTTGCCATGGAGAAGTTCTTTAAAAATCTCAGAGAAAGAGAGAGGTCCAGTAGTTACCAGAGTAATTTATCTGTCTCCATGGCATCATCATGCAAATGGCATAGATTATGTAATTGTCATCAGTTATGTCTTCATGTATTTTGTGCCATTTATACAACAATGTCATAACTCACAATATCACTTGACCCTCCGTCAGAAGCCTATGGTGGTAGAGCAGTAATTGGAAAAGAGAGAAGGCAGATTAAGATTAAGGGGGGGTGAAGAGACTTGATTTTACCTGTGTCAATAGTGACCTGCCATTTTGGTGGAAGATATTGAAGCAAGGCCCAATTGTGGAGGAGGGAATTCTGCCACCCAAAGAAGGTCACTTTGACCATGTCATTCCATTCCCTTCATTTTAGATTTGGTGGGGGTGACAGAGGAGGAGGAATAGCGGTAACAAGTCAGGTTCTCTCCTTGGTTGCTTTTTAGAAATTATGAGGGAATAGATTTCAGGGGAAGTTGGAAGTCAAGGACAGCAAATCCTGACATTAGAGTTTTGTGGCTGCTGAAATCCTTGGATGACAAACAGCCAATCATGCTTTGCCGCCAGTAGCAGCCAGGGCCCCATTTTTGTCCTAGGTTTCTTCTTGTTGGACCCAAGCATGTCACTCTCCTTTTGAGGTAGCAAGCGTAGCTCACTGCCAGAGTAAAAACAAATGCAATTCATCAGTTGGCCAGTAATGGTGGGCCAAGGAAGGTGGACCCACTCCTGGATTGGGCAGGCAGTGCCAAGGATGCCCAGTAATTTTCTTGCTTTTAGCATTTGAAGATGTTCTCCATGGCAACGACATGATGAAATGGCAAAGTCTCAACTGGAGACTAACTTTTTTGGAGCAAATCATTTTCCGTAAGATGAATTGCTGTCTTCTACATTTTCTCTGTTAGTGCTGGTGAGGACCTGAGAGAAAATTTTACTTCATTCTCTAGACAATTGGCAGCCACTTTCCACTCAGATGTGAACTGATATAAAGGGTATCGTTAGATACTTGAATCTTCTCAGGCGCTAAGTCACCTAAGCAAATCATAATGGTTCATGGTTCATTGACTTCTCATGACATCTGAAATGAGCATTAAATGTGTTTAACTGGATGTCTTTGTGGTTCATGCAGCACCATCCATAATGCCCACAATTGAATAAAGACTCCTGTAGCCCAGCTAATTTATGCAAGCTGGCCACTGTCTAATCATAGCATCACCTAAACTGAAGTGGGATTTAGCTTTAGCTTTTAACTTCTTTGCAACCTTTCTCCCACTCTCAGCCCCATTCCTATGACCCATTTTCCTTTACACTTGGCAATCAATAAAATTGATTGTGTAGTAACACCTACAGATTCTCAAAAAAAGAAAAATATTTAATTTTTTAAATATGTTTTTGGGAGGTTCTCAGCCAACACTCTAAGCTAGACGAAGAAAGCAGACTGTCTCATCAACATTCCTTAGCCAGCAGTTAACTCACAGAAGCCAGCTAATTAAGCCAGTAGTCAATTAGCAGTAGACAAAAAATTAATGTACTGTTTCCATTTCACTTGTGTTTCTGTTGTTTTGTCTTCAAATAATTTTTAAACATAATTCTTAAGCCAAGTACTGTCTGCATGCTGCTTAATTATAACTCTTACAATAAATTAATTGAACATGATCATGCAGTATGAGACCAAAGTCTGCATGTAAGCTCTGTATAGGACAAAAATCATGGAAGCTCTCACTCATCCTGTCCCCACTCCCAGAGCTGACTCAGTGGAAGTTAGCAGGATGAGGTATATATCAACAGTTCACCAGAACGCTGTCTTGAAATTTTAGATATACCGTGGAATCTAAGCAGCGTCATGGCACAAAAAAATGTCTAAAATGCATTCACAACCCAAAGTTCAGCAAACAACCCAACCCAATTTATGGACTTTGCAGTTTTAAATAGACTCTGCAATTTTAGCATCAGAACTGAAAAGCAACAGAAGGCTCATCTCAGAACTATCAACCTGCCCAAGCCAACATTATATTAAAGTCTTTGCAAGTACAAACTCAACACATTAGCAATACATGTGTGTAAATACTGTTTTCTGATAGTAATTTTTAATTTAATATGATAGGCAGGTTGCCCAATTCTTTGCTTGACGATGATGATTGTAGCAATCTTTCTGAAAGTTGGCTTCATGAACTGATATTGACTTCAAATCTTGTTACCTGTGCTGCAGAGTGAATGAACAAAGGGCTTGTTCTGAGTTTTTATTATTTATTTAAAAGACATATGGCCAGCAACAACTCTGGGTGGCTCACAAAGCCACACAGCCATAAAAATAAGAAAATCAATACTCAGAACATGGTATCACAACCATGCCTCTCCACTGCAGCCAACACCATCATCTTCAGACTCCAGCCTCTCCCTATTCTAATGGTTGGGAGAAGAGCCAAACATATAGCCTTCCAAAAAGTTAAAAGAGGCAAGGCCTGCTGGATCTCAAGGAGAAAGGCGGGATCCTTGATATTCTCTGATCTTGGTGGTTTTCTTGCAAGACGTCTTTTGCAGTGCTGATGATGTTACTTAGTTTGCTAGCAAAATGTCCATAAGAAAACCACCAAGCTCAGAGAGCACCAAGGACCCCATAGTCGAACCCTGAGCTACAAATATTCTCTTTTAAAGAGAAGGTTGCAGAGCAGAGGCTGTTACAGAAAAGGTACACTTCTAAGATCCAATAGATGGCAGCATTTCAGGGCAGAGATCTGGAATGTACCTACTCTATCTGATCTGGTGAAAGAGGCAGATATCCTCAGGGAAGGGTGGTTCCACCAAAAACCTGGCCCTATATCATGTCGGACTTTGAAAGTGATAAGCATACTAGAATTGCTTTTCCATGTGGAACATTTCAAGTCTTGTTGAGTTTTTTTTCAAGTTTGAAACAGAACTATTTTTTTTTTTTGTCTTTTGGGTACACTCTTGGTCAGGGTGAATGAAGTGTGATTAGAAGAATTAGCAGACTTTATGAAACAAATTAAATTACAATGTTACTAGGTGTCCTTGGCTAAACCTACTTTGCTTCACAAAATCTTGAAAATAAAATTGTGTGTGTGTGTGTGTGTGTGTGTGTGCGCGCGCACGGAGGAGAAAAAGAACTGTATAGATTACTATATCATATACCACATATGATTAAGAACCAAATACTAGGGTTTCTTCCTTCCTTCATTTTTGTGTTATATTTTGTGTAAGACCCTGTCTTATATTTTTTTGAACCCCGAAATAAGCACTTGGCCTTATTTTTGGGGAGGTCTTATTATTTTGGGCACATGGAGCAAGATGGGGCTCCTCTTGCCGTCTTACCTGATTTCCAGCTCTGCATTTAAATATGTTCAGGGAGGGCTTATTTTGGGGGGGAGGCTTATTTTAGTACATGCGCTCAAAAGCCTGATTGGGCTTATTATCAGGGGATGTCTTATTTTCGGGGAAACAGGGTATTTAAATAATAAACTGAGAACAAGGACTGTATGGGATTCTTTTATATTGAAGGTCCAAATGTTTTAACTAACTAACTAGAATAATAGGACTGTGCAGGCTTTGAAAATGGTTAGAAAGAAGTGCTTTATATTTCAGGTGAGCACAGCATCTTTCTGTTACTTATCAAAACAGCCTGGAAACTTCTTTATGAGGCAATGCTATAAAATGTGTGTGCACATTTGATAGCCTTAAAGACTGTCTTAAAGACAATATGTGTAACTTGATGAAGATAATAGGAATGGATTGTTAAGGGAAGAAGTATGCAACCTAATCCTGAAAAAGTAGATAGCATGAGAAAGAAGTTCCAAATAACCCCGCCTTAATTCTGTTTGGCATAAGATGAAGAAGACAGAAACTCTGACATCTTTTAAAATTCTGTTACTATGATGCCCTCTAGTAATAAGTACTGTTCCTGAAATCCTTGGGTTTTCTGACCTGTCCTATTTTGATGGATGATTTCAATCTTGTTGTTTAGCAGTTCTTCCAAAGAAGCAGGCTCTGCCCTCATAAATAATTAAATACAGGAATAAAGGTATTTTTTGAGGCTCTAACAGTAACAAATAAACAAACAAAACTCCTCAAGAAAAATGTATCAGGTTTAATGGCAACTGGGCTTAATCCTTACATAAAGAAACAGGTTTTCAGTCTCAGAGCAAAGCTAAGAGTCTAAGGTTAAGGGTTCTCTTCAGAAGTTTTGAATGCTTTGTCACTAGAGCTTTTTAAGAAGAGATTGAAGAACAATTTGTCTGGAATGATATAAGGTTTCCTGCTTGGGCATGGGATTGGACTAGAAGTTTTTCAAAGTCCCTTCCAATTCTGTTATTCTGTCTTCTGTAAATCAATTTTGGTTCAACATGATTACTCTTATCACATGTGCCAACATTAAAAAAGATGAATTTTGGCTTTGTGGAAAGTCGATGGTGAATGTTAAGGTTTACTCTTTAATATGTACTTCATTAATTAATTCTGTCATTTTCCAGACTGCCAGTGGTAATGTGGAAGCAAAAGTAGTATGTTTTTACAGACGACGAGACATCTCCAATAGCCTCATTATGCTTGCAGACAAACATGCAAGTAAGTTGTTTTTTATTTTATTTAGAAACAAATAGCATGAATTATGCATTCTTAAAATAATATTTTGTGTCTCTCTATATGAACTCATTAGACTCTGCATGTGAAACTGAATATGCATGCAATTTATTAACACTCCATTACCCTTGGTGGGATGTGCATTCAGAATTTCATGCCTGTCTGCATTTTCATACAAGTAATCAAATATATCTTTACAAGCAATTAGAGTTGGAACTAAGGACTAATAAATTTGCTGTTTTATTTTTCCCCCTTTTTCAGCTACAGCATGATTGATCTAGATAATTTAGTGCAGAATTATTTTTTCTGTATTTATTCATATTGTTAATAGTTCAGTAGAAGAGTGAAATAATTCAGCACATTTTTCATGGTTTCTTTTGTTTCAAACCCTGAAAGATTAACATCTTGACTTTTAAATTTAGTTAACTTAGATTTTGCTTCCATGATTTTTTTTAATCCTTAATTTGTATTCCATACATCTCGTGATTTCTTCATTTAAAATGTCTCCCCAAAGTTGGGGTGCAATAGGGGATTGCCAGGGAAAATATAATCAAGATTAAATAAGCCTCTGCAAAATTTTGAACGATTTCCCTTTTTTCCAGTATGCTTCTGCCATATTGCATCTGACAAACATTAGGAGGTTGCGAAGATGCTGGTAGGAATAAAGCAGGTGATTGCTAAAGGTGGAGAACACAAGAAACTGTAGGCAGTTTCATACATTACTTCAATTTATTCCAGTGTTTTAGTTATGGTGAATTGGGGATCATACGGTTAGAGATCATGTTGTCCTTTGGTTGATGCTAATTTAACATAATATTTATTTTAAGTTGTGCAGCCACCCAGAATTGTTCTGAAGGTGAGCAGCCTAGAACCTCAATAATTAAATAAACAATTAATTAGAGAGAGTTCCGTGTGAACTGTGTGGTCACTTTTCTGAAATAATTGTTGCTTACGATTTATTTATTAGTTACACTTGCTTTTATGGCACTGCAGTCATTATGAGTGCCATTAAGCCGCTCATAAGCAAGAGTGACAATGCAATATTCATAATTCAATAATTAAAAATCAAAATCATTAAACATGTCCCAACATAGTAACAATTCATCATATCAACAGCACAAAAGATACCACCATAAACCTTTACAGTAGTCTCATATCTCCAGTATCTTTATTATTAATGTCTCAGTTGCTGATTGCTTTTTGAAATATCGCATCTTTAACAGCTTTCAGAATTCCAGGAGTAAACTTCTGATTTTAAAGTCTTCGGTGAGAGGGCATTCAACAGAAAAGAAGCTGTTGCAGAAAATATTTGCCTACAGGTCTCCTCTTGCTGTGGGAGGATTGTCAGCAAGCACTTTCTGCACTCTCCCATAGGCAAGTAGGTTCTATTTGGTGTAAGTGGTTATATAGGTAAAAAGGCCCCAAACCACAGAGGGCTTTAACACCTTCAATTGCACGTAGAAACAAATCGCAATAGTGCAGCTCACAAAACACTGAGGCATAGAGTTCTTGCTATTAGTATGTGGATTACTACTGTTAGTATGTGGATTGTTTGTTTTACAGTATTGTTTCCTCAAATGGTAGTGATCTTAAAAATGTGCTATGTTTGATGGCATGCTATGTTTACCCCTGGAGGCCACTGTTCAAAAGAAATATAATAATGAATACTTTTTATTGGCCTAACAGCCATTTCTCCATAGTGGTGGAGATAGCATCCAGGAATGGGTTGACCTTGTCTGCTTAGCTGATTGGACTGAGTCTGTCAGAGCTGTTAGGATACGCCTCTGTTGCTAGGGCTTCCCAGCTTTTGACACAGTAGGTCAGCTAGGACAGATGTGTTAAGAGTTTCTCCCGACTTTTTTTTTTTTTATTGAAAAAGTTTTCAAATACAAATTTTCCCCCCTTTTTTTCCCCCTCTCCCTCCCCCTCCCTAACCCCCCTCCCCACCCATCCCCCCCTGTGACTTCTTCATAACAAAAAAAAAAACCTAATTCATAACAGATTACTTACTCCCTCCTCTAGATATTGACCTTTACTTACTAAAAATATTATTAATATTATAACATCCCCCTTTATCCATACATTTCAGAAAAGAGAAAAGAAAGGAAAAAAAAAAGACATTATACTATGACATTATAGAATAACTTCTCCACTTTAAAACTATACGATAAGTCCTACTTTAACATTTAATCTTCTATATATATTACTATAACATTTCAAAGCGGCCTTCCCCATAAAATCTAGTTTAACATTTATTCCACTCTATCCATTTCCTCCACTCCTCTAAATATATCACTTAAAAATCCCTTTTCTTAGACTAATCAATCTACTAACTAGCTTATTCACCCACTATCATGCAAAATTACCATACACAACATTTCTTAATATCTTTGATTCACTTCCCACACTACTTAAAAATATATGTCTATATTTTCCATTATATCTAAATTAAAAAAAAGAAAAGACAATGGCTTTAAATTTATAATCCATATAGTATCTTCTTTGAGGTCTTTCCACTGGATTGGTAGAACCAACATCCATAATCGGGTAACATAGCTTGCTGGTGCAACAGTTTATTCAGGATCTTCAATCATATCTGCCCCCATCAGTAGTAAATATCTTCTTATATGTATAAAAGTAAAAACAACCACCCGAGTGACATTATAATTATATTCCATATAGTAATAATTGTGGGTTTCATCAGGATTATTAATTCCCATCATCGTAGTGAGTAACAACCCGATCTTCTGCATGCCCCAGCATAATTCTCTTGCCTTGTGATTCAAGATAATATAATATGTTTATCAACACAAAAAGAAATTCCAAAATGGATAATTCAAATCCATCAGTTTAAGGCTCGTTTCACGTCCCCAGATTACGGCCATGCAGAGATCTGCCACAATCCTCAGGATGATATTAACCAATACGTCGCCTCTTCTGTGTTTACACATAATCATTCATATTTTAAAGTCACTGGCTTCACTGTTGCCTGATTTAGAAATTTCTATTTTTATGCCACCTATTCCTTTTTTTCTTTTCTTTTTGTGGGTTTGGTTTCCATCCTGGTTTCCTTTCTACAAATTGTGTATCATCTGGTCGGTTTTTATTCTGCTTTGTAGATTGGTCTTGTTGGTTTTGTTTTTGTATCTCATGTTTCTTTTTTATCCCTTGTATATCCCCTAATTGGTTTCCATGCTTATCCTTGCCTTGATAAGTCATCACATTAAGATTAGATGCCACTTCTCTCAAATTTGTAGATAGTCCAGCTGGGGTATCCAATAAATCCAAAGGCAATTCATCTGGTACAGTCTCTGTAATTCGATATTTTACCTTTATTTCCGGCTCCTTCTGCTTATCCTGTATTATACCTGAAGATGTTAAGTTCATTTTCAACCTATTTTGATAAAATTCTTCCGCTCTTTCAACAGTATTTAGCTGATATCTTTCTCCTTGGTATCTAAATATAATACCAACTGGGGCGTCCCACCTGAATGGGATATTTCTCTTTTTTAACTCATTCACCAGAAAACCAAATTTCTTCCTTTCCATCAATATCTTAGGTGGGAGTTCCTTGTAAATCCAAATCTTTCTTCCATGCAATTGCAAATTAGAATTGAAGGAATTTTGCACGATATTATTCCTAATTTCTTTATCTGTAAAATAAATCACCACATCTCTAGGCAATTGCCTTTGCTTGGCAATCCAGGAGTTGATTCGATAAACTCTGTCAATCCTACAAAACACTTCGTCAGGTTGACCCTTTATAATCCCAGCTAGAAATTCAGAAGATATTTTCCTTAAATCATCTCTATTATTTTCCTGCAAACCTCTTAATCTTATCGCATATTCTGTGAAATTATATTGTACCATTAAAATCTCTTTTTCAATCTTCTGTTGCAGATTTTCTGCATTACCATACTTTTGATCAGCATCCATTTTAGGTTTTTCTTCTAAGCTATTATCCTGAGTGTTTGTCAAATCATTTTCAATTTTTTGAATTCTATTGTCCAATTTATCTTGAATTTCTTCCATTTTAGACTCTAGTACATTAGTATTTGTGTCCAACTGTATCATAAATTCTGTAAAACCATTAGCCACTTTTGAGAATTTTTTCTCCAAAAAATCAAACTTAGATTTCACCAATTCTTTAATTTCCTGCTTAAATTTTTCAAGTTGCTGATTCACAATCTCCTCCCTTCTTTCAATCTCCTCTATAAAAAATTCTATTATATTAAAATCAGGTTTCTGAGACTGAAGAGTTAAGACTTGTTCCTTTAAGTTGTTGGTGGGGGAATCCCCCCCCTTCTTGTTTATCTGACTTTATGAGTCTCAGTGCCATGTTTCCGCCCAGGCAGGCTTTGTTAAAAAAAAAAAGCAAGAAAGAAAAAAAAAAAGACTTCTTTCCAATCAACAACAATATCAAGTCTCCAAGGGAAAAAAAAGAGAAAAAGACACAGGAGCGAATTTTTGTCTACAAATGTAGCCAGTGGTATTTATTCCGCTACATTGTAGTAATAGAAAACGGAAGGACTTTCCCTTTCAGCCTCTCCTCCAGCCAACGCCATTTTAAAAGGCTTTTTTTCCTCTTTCTTTTCCTCCTCTCTCTTAAGTAATTTTTTAAAAAAATCAGTAAAATACTTGCGGTTCAGTATTACAGGTCCAGCTCACATTTTCTTTGAGTAGTCTGTTAAATTTGCAGGCTTGCTTTTGACGCCTGGCTCTGCATCAGCAGAGGTTTCCCAAAGCCCGGAGCAGCGGCTGGGGATATGGGGCATCTCATCCGCTCCGTCCCAAAAGTAAAGGAAAAACTTTTGGGACTCCGCAGAGAGTTCTACCCACCCCTGCCAGCTCTATCTCCGTTTCCTCATGGAAACGGAGTTTTTTCGAGCCGCCATTCCATTGTGAAGGTGGCTCTGACAGGCGATGGAAGCTGACGATCCCAAAGGAACGTCTGGCAGCGACAAACAGCAAACCGGAAGACCCGA